AAGTAGAGGGGAAGCAAAGCAAAAGGAGGGAAGAGAGGAGGAGGGAGGGACGGCTTGAAGAAACACACACTTCACTGCATCTTTGAAACTCCAAGCAGTTCCTTTTCATTATTCTTAACCTTAAAATGGTCGGCCCAGTAAGGGCAGTTGTTTCTGGGCAAACAAAGGCACCCAGCCCAGCTCACCCGCCTACTGGACGTTAGGCTAATGATCAAGTTTGCCCTCTTTCCATCATTGTCAGTTTTGAGTTCGGTTTTCTAAATAGGTCCCAGGATAGAGTCCTGGAGGCAGGGAGAGGAATACGACCAACAGAGGCAGACCTGGCCATTCGCAGTCTCCAAAGTTTTCAGAATCCAACGTCTCTTTTTCCAGAAGTCTGCCAGCATCTCTCCGGCTATACCCAACTGGCATGTGCCCTCAAGAATGTTCTTGAGGGGCATCCAGGTTAAGACTCACCATCCTCTCTCTATCTAGCTGCCCACACGCAGCGCGTCCATACTCCGGGTCCTAGACCCGCTCGCTCATCCTCGCCCTGCGATCCTCACCGAGGTTCCTGCGGTGGTCGCAGAGGCGCTATGCTGGAGGGCTGTGGTGACAAGTTAAGGCCCGGAGGCAGCCGGCCCTCTCTGGCTGCAGCGGGGACGCCTGGGGGTACAGCACCACCCGGAGGCGGCAACGCCAGCAGCTCCTCGCCCGAGGTCACCGCACTATCCTGCTCTGGTTCTTCGCCCCCACCGCCCCCGCTCGCGGTCCCGTTACTTCGCTTCTTATCCGCCTCCTTCTTCCACTTCATGCGGCGGTTTTGGAACCAGATTTTGATGTGTCTCTCAGTCAAGTTCAACATCACTGCCAGCTCCACCCGGCGAGGCCGGGATATGTATTTGTTAAATAAGAATTCTTTCTCCAGCTCCAGCAGCTGCGCCCGCGTATAGGCTGTACGGGTCCGCTTGTTCTCCTCCGGCTCCACTGCGTACGCACCGCCTGTGGGCGACACGGTCGGTCAGTGTGGTCCCCGGGGCACAATGCAGCCCAAATATTTCATCCCCAGCCCAGAAACAGCCCTCCTACTGGTCAGTCCAAGAGCAGCCTCTCGCTCCAGAGCTTACTGTGGTTGCACCACAATCTTCCCTTTCTCCTAGGCCACAGCCGTGCCTCGATATCATTCTCGGGTTTGTTGTTTCAAAATTAGTTCATTTAACGGATGTTAAAATGCACACAATAGACACTTGGATTGATTCCATTCTACTTAGGCAATAATATGCCTTAAACACAGAATTTTTAAATAAGCTTTCTCACATTGACCCAAATTAGTTTGACGGGATGAAATAGGGTTCCGATTACTATCCTATCCTTACAGGAATCTATAGACCCGATAAACATTTCTAGACTACACTTTTACCACACACAATGCTAATTTTCCTCTTTATTCACTATCTCGTTAACTTAAAATAATGCTAAACTCAGCGCATTAAATTATTATTTTTTTTTTACAAGATAGGCATCGTGGTGCCGTCTTTAATGCCAGCGCACAGGAGGCAGAGGCAGGGGCAGGCAAATGGAGCCCAGCCTGGTCTTCATAACGAGTTCCAGGCCAGCAACAGCAATATAATGAGCTCTGGTCTCAAAAAATTATTTTTTTTAAATGACTCACTAACGGACGCAGATTGCAGTTCGAAAGATCACGGTGTTCATTAAGTTACACGCACAATTTGTTATGTCTTTTAACATATCGTTATTTATTTAATATTTATTATTTTGTGTGTAGGATAGGCACGTCTGAGTGTTGCAACGCGCGTGTGGAGGTGGGAGCACAGCTTTTGGGAGTTGGTTCTTTTTTTTAAATTTTAGGTTCCGTGAATTGAACTAAGGCCTTCAGATTAGCAGAGGGAACGTTACAAACTGAGCTATCTCCTTGGGCCCATATATTGTTTTAAAAATGTGGTTATATTGTAATTGGCCCCAACTTGAGAGGTAATTGTTACTTTAATTTTAGTTAGTACCCTGCCTCTGAGAAGAAGAAATACTTTGGGGGGGGGCTGGGAAAGATCACACAGGAGATCCATTCTGTGCTATGTCACCAATATTGGCAGAGACCAGATCGAAGAGGAACTAAGAGCTAGCTATTCTGGAAAAGGAACTGATCACCAAGGGACTTGTCAGTCCCAGCTCCAAACCCTCATCTAAAGCAAGCAACAAACTCACGTCTCCAGGAAATCAGTGACACACCTGAGTGTTCCCCAGGTCTGGGTCTGGCAGTCTGTGCAGGGCACCTGAATGCCCAGACTGTGAACACTATTTTAGGGCTCTCCACCAAAGCTTACCGAAGAGGCCAAAGCCAACTTGATTCTGGACAGAGGCGAGGTACATGAGAGCGGTCAGGGCAAGGGATTAATTTCCTGGACGGAATCTGCTGGCGGCTTTTTTTTTTCCAAACCAGGAGGAGGCACCAGAAGTTGAGGTGAGGCCCCTAGACCACTCTTTGGAAAGCAGCCCTTCTCCCCAGGAACGCCTCAAAAACCACGCAGGCCTTCCCCGAAAGAGGAGAAGAGACGAGACTTACCCTTTTCGAAGCATTTAAAAAGGCCAACCTCGGTTTCATAAATGGAACTCACTGGTTCCTCGGACTCCTGCCCTCAGCTGCCCACTTTGCCGAGCCCTAGCAAAAAGCTATAGGAATCTGTGCCCAGCTAGAGGAAGCAGAGGACGGAAGCTAAAGTTGGAATCTGCAGGTGAGAAAATGTTCCGATTTCCCCAGGCTGACCTTTTTCCCGGGACTCGGAGTAGAACCGGCCAGTGATGAAGTTCTTTTAGGTCCAATTATTTTCAAGTGGCTTTCGCCATTAGTATTCGCATTTCTACTATGAGCCTTTTTGGTCATTGCTCCCTTTCCAAGGGTTGTGAAACCCCACTGAGCACGCGCAGGTGGTCTAGCTCAACTTGACAGTTCTTCCGAAGTGGAGCCGGCTGGAGCTCCCTGCAGGCCTCCATCGGAAGAGAGGGGCGGCCAGCCCAGAGTCGGACGTGCAGAGGGTCAGAAGGGACCGGCAAAGGCTTCTGGCACCCGAATTTTGCAGTCCGAAGCCTTCTCCAAAATGTTTTCCAAGCACAGAAAAAGCTGTCGGCCCGCCCTCAGAATTGACTCTCTGGTTTCTTTCCTCCTTAGTCCAACGCAGGAGCGGATAGCCAGAGATTCCAGGGCTCTGCGGGAAGGAGCCCCCGAAAGACAGAATCCCTGGCAAAGAACTAGGGACTGAGAACCCCCTGGGTGGAGGGCAGTTCAAGAACCGGGTCTCGGCGATGTTTGGCCTTGGCCTTGAGACACCTCAGCAGCATCTACCTGCTTCATCTACATGGAATTGGTCAGAGGTGAGGGACAGACGTCTCCAGGAAGAGTTTGAGCCCTGTCTTAAGTCAGGATTTTTGCTCTCCCTGAGTGCCCCCTGGGACTTGGGTGAGCCTGGCCTACCCCAAACCCTCTCAAGAGCTTTGCTTCGCGGCTCCTGGGACCGAGTCAGGCTCCTTAGGCAGGCCCTGAAGACATGACGTTGAGAATTCTCAGGGGATGCCAACTCCAGCTTCTGAACCCGTAGTTCCTGACAGTCGGAAGGCAAAGAAAAGGCAGCTATTTGCAGTACAGGTGTGACCAGAAGTGGCTGCAGCCGGAAGAGATAACATTGTGCAGCGGCGGGCACAGGCTCCGTGCGAATTCGCTGCCAGCACCCGGTGGGGAAGGGACCTAGGGCTTGCTCTGCGTCGCCTCTCCGCTGCCAGGGAGGGCCTGGCACAAAGCAGGCAGAGCCCAGAGCTAAGGAAACCGGGGGTCTTGCTTCTCTGAGCCGGACTTCAGGAAGGAGGGGCCTCTTATTGCATATGTACTTCCTGGGACACAGCGTGAGAAGACCCTTCGAACCCTTTGGGTTGGTCCAGAAAGAATTGGCACCCCAGACGCCTCTCCCAGCTGCCATGCTCGGGAGCCGCCTTTCGGTGAGCCCCTCACCTCGCCCCAGTCTCTTCCTGTTCACTCCCACCCCTCACCCTACTCCAGGGCCTCCGGACTCTTGGTAGGCCTGTATGGATGCAATTTTCCTTTCCCTTTCTGCTTTTCTGCTTCTACTCGGTGCCCCCAGGAGGCCCATTTTCTTTAATAAAGCCACCAGCACAGGGCCAGGAAGTGAAAGGGCCTGAGGCTCTTAAGGGGTTCCAGCCTAGGTCAGAGAAGGCTTGCTTTTAACTTGGTGCCCACTACCTGGGAGTCCTCGGCTTCCAGATCTCCCGCTGCAGAAGGATCCAGAGGCCTGAGTAGGCCTCGGCTTTCTCGGGAATGGGAGCCGGTTCCCAGGTTAAGAAAGGCTTAGGACACTCGCAAGGAAGGAGGAATGCCGAGTGGAGAAGAGGCTTCCAGGTGAATGGACTTGTTAGCCTCGCCAGAGTTTATGCTAAGCCTGCTTTATCCCTGCAGGTGGAAGAGGAACTCGGAAAAGGCCCAAGGGAGATAGTGACAGCTGAGTCTAGAGAAGAAAGGGAGAAAAGCCAGGCTTACCTGCCCACTGGCCTTTCCACGCGTGAGCTTTGGTGGATTTCATCCACGGAAAAGGAAGCTGAACGCGGCTGGGCTCTTCCAGGCCCCCAGGCTCTGTTCCGTTCGGGAAAGGCCCGGAGGGCGGATGGGCGAGCCCGAGCTGAGCTGGGAGGTGGTGGAGGTGCGCCACCGCAGGGTCTTCGGCGAGCGGGGGCACTTCGTATGGGGAGATGTCCGGGGGACTTCCCTGCTCCAGTGTTCCCAGAGCGCCTGCGAATTGGGGTGGCGGAGGAGGTGGGGGCTGGCGGCCCATGTACAGGCACGCAGGGGGGTTAGCGCTGAACTCTGGCACCGGGCCCCTCTGGAATGCGCACGGGTCCTTGTAGAGCTGTGTGGCCGCATAGTAGTGCTCCTCACCGTTCATGGTGGCAGCCGGCACTTGGGGGGCAGCCGCCCCTAGTAGGTATCTGCAAGCCAGGCCCTGGTGCTGTGCAGCTCACAGACTCCCAACTCCTGCCCAGATCGCTTTGACAGTTCTCCACTGCTCTCCTGGGGACCAGGCGCTGGCGGGGCACAGACAAGCCGGCTGCCGTGCCATAGGCTCTGAGGCACCCCACGTGGCTCAGCCTGGGGCCATTATTGGCCTGGCGGACTGCCTTAAGAAGGAGGCCCAGGTACCCGCGAACACCTACATTTGTTTCAATTTTCTCTCTGTCTGCTGAGCCCTCCACCGTTTACAGCAGGCGGAGGTCTCTAAATCGGGGCGCGCAAAAAATAGCAGAATGTTTATTTATTTATTTATTTACAAAACCCCTTCCATGGTGCTTACTTGAAATGTTTACGTCCCCTTGCTGAGTTTCTGTTTGTTTGCTCGTTTTGATTTATTTTGTCTGTTTTGTTTAAGACAGAGTCTAATTTTGTAGCCTTGTCGCGGCTGCAACTCTCGAATGTAGTCCAGGCTGGCCTCAAACTTCGTGCAAGCCTTCATCTTCATCCTCCTCAGATCTGGGATTGCAGGTGTAAGGCACCACGCCTGACTTTTAATTTTCTTGTGTTTTTAATAATATATGTAAATGTCAGCTCAATACTGCGATATGCAAAACTGTAAGGTTGCATATCTCGGCTGCTGAAGAACACACTTTTAGAGGGATGCTCGCAGAAGCCAGCTCTCCAAGCCCGAAGCTGTCGGTTCTGTTTTATAGCGGAAGCTATCCTTTTCGTTTCTTCTCATCTGTGTTTGTACTCCCAATACTTCTAGCGCAGACCGCTAACTTCAGGAGGTGGGAGAGGGGAATCACAGCGGCTTAACATTTTTTTTAAAGTTGAAGGCTATTGTTATTTAATTTTAGGAATTGCAATCTATTTGAGTAACTCAGCCTAGTTTCCCAAATGTGCCAAAGGCAGAGGAAAGTGTCACCTCTGTGGTTGGACAAGGGATGGAAACAGAGTTTTCTGATCCCTGACAGCTGCCCTAGAGTCCCTGGTAGAATCTACGTGTAGAGAAAACCCACGTTGTGTGTTGCTGAAACAGGGCAGCTGGGCAAGGAGATGATTGGGATGCTTAGAAAACGAAATTAAAACCCTGCCTGTTCAAGGTTGCCTATGCCTGGTTTCCACCTGCCAGATATTCTGGAGGACCTGCCTTTCACGGGGTCATTTTAATTTGTGTGTGTGTGTGTGTGTGTGTGTGTGTGTGTCCCCATTGGCACGGACCCAGTGGCTTTGGTGTTCGTTCTCTGGAGCGGATGTTACAGAGATTGTGGACACACTGAGTTCCTTGACCTGGTCCTCCAAGGCCACTGGAAGGTTTTGGAATAACCGGGCCTTTTTGCATCGTTGCAGAGAGCCTCTGTAAAAGCAGACAGGAGGCACATACACCCAAGAGGAAAGTGATTTACACTGTACCCGACTCAACCAAACACTACAATCACATTTAGACCTTCGCAACATTTTAATATTTTTTCCTAGTGGAAAATGTGTTTAAGTGTTTTCAGATGGAGTGTGCTAGTCTCAACTATTATTAAAGGCAAACAAAAATTATGCGGGTTTTGTGTTCTGAAATTTCTTTCCCTCCTAGGATTCTATTTGCTTGCCCGCTGCCCAGTGCTGACGTGAGAGCCTAGACCCTCTATAGTCCCAAGCTCCTTCTCAGGTTCTCACCGAGGCAAGCCAGGCCAGAGGGGAGAGTGTCTCTGATTTCTTTAGGGAAAAGGGCCACCTGTTGCCATCGAGGGCCCCGGGAGTGAAAGGCCGGGGCGCCGAGCACCTAATCTCGACAGGCCTGCCTCAATGAGTCTATTGTTCAGGGTGGCCGCCCGGGACTCGACGCTATCTCCTTGACCGCGAGTGGCCACATCGATCGGAAGGACAGGGCCAGAGTGGGTGGCGCGGACTCAGGGTGTTGACCCTCGAAGATAATCTGCCGAGTGGCTGTGCGGGTTGACTTGGTGACGCGGTTATGAGCGGGTCCCGAGTTTGGAATAAAGATAGGCACCTTCCCTTCTGGTTCCTCCCCTCACCTGAGCACCCCCCCCCCCCCCGGAGCTGGATCCTCTCTGTAATCTTCCCGCCCCTTCCCTCCCCTCAGCCTCACCTGTCACCCCCAGAGTGTTTACTTAGCACTTCTGGTCTAATTGCGTGCATTTCGGTAAATTGACTCCATTTTGATGCTTCGTTTGTTCCCATTTAATATTTTTGCTGGGCCTTGCAAAAAGGAAAGTGTCTCTCGGCAGAAAACAAAGTCAAATAAATAAATAATCCCTCCCACCCGCGCTGAGCAAAAAGGATCCTCCTTTCCCTGCCTGTGGGTGTTTGTGGCATATTCTTGATTTCACAATTAAGAAACAAAGATCCAATAACCATTTGGTATGACTCTTAGGTTTGTGAGTGGCTAATGGTTGCACACTACAGAACCTCCAGCGAACAAGATCACTCAGCGTTTCTCAGCCTCTCTGCCTCCCAGAGTGGCCAAGTCCATTACAGGTGGAACGCGTTTCCGCTCTGCATCCACTGCCCCTGCGCCTCCTCCGCCTCCAGCAGGCCTCAGAGATACCCAGCCATTAGGCAGGAGCCTGCCCGAGCCATTTAACAGCAGCTCTTATGGATAAATAAACAAAAAAAGCTGTAAACCAATTATAGTGTGGACAGTGAAAAAGTCTTTTATTAGCAGGCCGTCCTGACAGTCCCTGCTCACACTGGAGGTCCCCTGCCTGCTCTTTTACCCTCTGCCTGCGCAGACTGTGCAGAGGGACTCCGGTTCACTCTGGTTCAGCCCCCCCCCCTCCCCCGCCAGCCGGCTTCCTTAGTGGTTCCGTGGCCACACCAGAGGCTGGTTTGGGCGAGGTGATAGAATTAAGCCGTTCTATACCATTTTGTGTTCATGTGTGTGGCGGGCACGGAGGCGGGGGGGGGGGGTAATTCTCAGCAAAGATAGGTGAATGTGAGATTTAATTTTTAAGACCATATGCATTTCGAAATTACTTGCTGTTAAAAATTAAAGCGAGGCAGGCAGTGGTGGCGCACACGCACACCTTTAATCATGGCAGAGGCAGGCGACTCTCTGTGAGTCTGAGGCCAGGACAGCCAGGACTGTTACACAGAGAAACCCTGTCTCGAGAGGAAAAAAAAAGAAAGTTAAAACAAAATTATGCCCTGAGTTGAGAAAGCCCAGTAAAGCAAACAGTGTATATTTAATGAGAGTACACCTTATGATTGATTTTTGACTCACCTGCCATAACACAGATGTTAGAGGCCTAAGAGATTTTGCTCAGGGACTCAATTCAGATTCAGCATCTGGAGCACGGCCGAAAGAGGGACCTGGAAGCAAGCAAGGATGGGATCGAAGGTGTGTTCATCTGATTTCTGGGGCAAAACACTTCTAGTGGCAATAAGTGAAAATTTGAAATTATTTTCCAGATAATTCAGCACCCACCCCACCCCTCACAACAAATTGTGTTCATTAGGATTTCTATTGTTGTGACCAAACCCCATGACCAAAGGCGACTTGGGAAGGAGAGGGTTTATTCCAACCTCATAGCTCTCATCACCGGTGCAGAGGATGCTGCTTACTGGCTTGCACCTCATGATTTGCTCAGCCTGCTTTCTTCCAGCACCAAGGACCACCAGCCCTGAGATGGTACTGCCCACAACAATCACCAATCGAGAAAATGCACCCAGGCTTGCCCTTGGCTCTTTCTGGAGGGGGCATTTTCTCAGTCGAGGTTCCCTCTTCCCAAACAACTCCAGCTTGTGTCTCATTGACATGAAACTAGCCAGCACAGAACTGCAGCTCAAAAATGGATGGTCGTTTCACAACTGTCTTACAGCGTGTGCCACTAGCTCTAGTGTGTGAGAAGAAGAAGCGATAATGGCAGGGGGCTCTGGAGGTTCCAGCCGGTCCCATCCTGTTAGGTTTCCTTCTGTGCCCTTCAGTTCACTAGGCAGCAGAAAGAAAACAACAGAAGGAAGTCAGACTCTGAGGTTTCACACCGGCTGCTGCTGTGTCTCACCCCCCATCTCCGTGGTCTCCCCCAGAAGTTGTACACTCACTACTCTGGCCTGCTTCTGCCTGAACTCGGGTTCCTTCACCTCTCTGCACAGTGTCCAATTATCCCTGCCTGCTTCCAGCCTTCTGTTCTAAGCGCTCTAGAACATGCTTCCATTAACATGTTCTTTCTCTGCCTTCTTTCCCTCCCCACCCCTTTGACTGTGTACTACTCCCGGGGACCTCCTTTTTCTTCCAAGTTTCTGTTGTGCTCCACACTGCCAGGTCCTTCCTGCTGTCTCCTTCAACCTCCTGTATGTTGAACGGTTTATTGGTTTCAATGTTATCTATTGATTAAATGCCTATAGACTTCTTACCGTGTGCTTGCTTTTGAGGAGTGAAAACTCAGTAGTAGATATGTGTTCTGGGGGCTGGAAAGATGGCTTAGTAGTTAGGAGTGCATACTGCTTTTGCAGAGAACCTGAGTTTTGTTTCTGACTCCCTTATATGTAGCTCATAACTGCCTCTAACTCCTGCTTCAGGGGCCCATGCTTTCTTCTGGCCTCTACACGCACACGCCCACACACATCCACACATAGACATAATTTACTTGTTTTGATGTGTATGAATGGTTTGCCTATATGTGTGCTACATGCATGCCAAATGGCGGAGGTCAGAAGGCGAGGTGGGGGGGGGAGGGCAGATCCTTTGGAGCTGGAGTTATGGATGTAGGTGCTGGGAACTGAATCCGAGTCCTTTGCGAGAGCAGCAAGTGCTCGTAACCATTGATTCATCTCTCAAGACCATGATGGGCCTTTAGAATTCAATCTGGCTGCCTTGACAGTACCCTAGCTTATTAAAGAGTAGGTATTCAGATATATATTTTAGACAAGCTCTCAACCAGCAAAGGCTGGTCTTGAACTCACTAGGTAGCTGAGGTT